GGCAGGCTAGGGGGCTGGAGCTGCCCAGGGGGCTCAGGACGGGGGGCTGGCCCTGGAAGAGCTGGAAGCCCAGGGGCGCTGGCAGGGCAGGAGGCAGCAGCGGCGGCTGGCTCTGGAGCAGGGGGCTCCCGGCAGCCCCCAGGGGGCTCAGCGCCGACAGGTCACCTGGGGGGGGAAGAGAGTCAGTGGGGGCAGAGTCCTGGGGAGGGCCCTGCTCCCGAGGGCTGGGCTGCCTCACCTCAGGGACCCCCCCAGCGACCGTGGCCCCACTCACCCAGCAGCGCAGCACTCAGCAGCGGGCTGACCAGTGGGGGCAGCAGCGGGTGGAGTCTCCCGGAGGAGCTGGGGGGCACCGGGGCGCTGCCGAAGGCGCCAGGGGCCTCGGGGGCCTCAGTAGTCGTGGGCGTCGTGCCGGTCGAGGTAGGTGCCATGGGGGAGCCGGCGACGCCAGGCTGGGGGGCAGAACGTAGCGTCAGGTCCGAGAGAGCAGGGCTGGGATGACGCCCGCCGCCCCCCACTGCCCCAGCCCCAAAAGCAGAGCAGGGCTGAGGTGATGCCCCCCACCCCCAGACATGGCCACGGTGGGGCTGAGTGCTTCTTTCCCCCTCCCAGCACGGAGACACGCCGGCAGCCCCAAGATACCCACCCCTGGGGCCCGGCCTTACCTGGGCCTCGGAGGCAGCCAGGCCGGCAGCCAGCAGAGCCGAGTTTAAAGCTATGACGGCGGGCGAGGCGGGCAGCGCCGGGAAGAGCAGGGGCTGCAGGGGCCCGTCCGGGAGGTCCCCCTGGCAGGGCGGGTCGGGCAGGGGCAGCAGGGCCGGGAGGAGGCCGCCGGGCTGCTGGAGCAGGTCCAGGCCGGGCAGGCCGAGGCCCCCCAGGGGCAGCAGGGGCGACTGAGGCTGGCTCTGCAGCAGCGAGGCCATGAGCAGGGTCTGCAGCACCTGCCCCTCGGGCTCGCCCGGCAGGCCCAGGCCGGGCAGCGGTGCCTCCCCCTGCCCCGGGCAGCCCAGCAGCTGCGGCTGGCTCAGGGCCAGGGAGAAGGGCAAGGAGCCGAGGAAGCCGCCCTGGAGGAGGCCAGGGGGCAGGGAGCCGAGGAAGGGCAGCACCTGCTCCTGGCCCAGGAAGGGGAAGGGCTCGGGGGCCGGGGGTGGCAGGCCCCGCTGGCCCCCTGGGCTGCCCTCCCCGGCGCCGCTGCTGGGGCCGGAGCCCGAGGCTGCTTTGGTGGTGGCTGGCGAGACGGTGGCACCTGCAAGGGAGAAGGGCTGGGTCAGAGGGGACCGGTGGGTGCTGCCCCCCAGCACGTGCCGCAGCTCTCCCGCCACCCAACCCCGCTCTGCCTGGGTTCCCACGAGCCAACCCCATCCCTTGCCCCCCCCCGCCCCCGGCTTGCAGACAGATGGTGCCCCCCCCCCCGGGGGGTCCCTCCCGCGGGGGGGGCGGGGGGCGGGGGCTTTGGGCGGGGGGGGGCTCCCTGAGGCCAGGTCGGAGGAGGCCGAGGCCAGCTGGCTGAAGAGGCTGAGGAGTTGGCTGTTGAAGTCCTGGAAGGAGGGCAGGAGGCCGGGGGGGCTGTCGCCCAGGGGCAGTGGGGGCAGGCCGGGGGGCTGGGCACCCAGCAGGCTCAGCAGGGACGACAGCGGCTGGCTGGGGGCCAGGGGGCTGCCCTTGGCCTCTCCGGGCGGTGGGGCGCCCCCCGGGGGCGGCCGGGGGGGCTGCTCTCTGGGCCAGGCCCGGTGGGCGGGGGCCTCCTCTGGGCCGGCCGGGCCCTGCTGCGAGTCCTTCAGCAGGCGCAGCACGGTGGGCGCGCGGCGCTGGCGCCGGGGCTTGGGCAGCGCCCGCCCGCCCACCACGGACAGCAGCACGTTGGAGCCCAGCACGCGCCCGGGTAAAGTGCTAGAGGGGGGCTCGTCGGCGCGCCGCTGGCTGGCTAGCTGGGCCTTGGCGGCCGCGCTCAGCAAGCTGCTGGCGGGGAAGGAGGGGGCGCCCGGCTGCTGAAGCAGCTGGCTCAGGGGCAGGCCCAGGAAGCCAGGCGGCCCCTTGCCCTCGGGCACGGCGCCTAAGGGCACTGGTGGGTTATTGCTGCTTTGGTTGGCTAAGGCATTGCTGGGGGGCGCCTCGTCCTTGCAGGGCTGGAGGGCCCCTGCAGGGGGCCGGGGGCCCAGCGGGGGCCCCCCGGGCTCCGAGGAGGCGGAGGAGGGGCGGGAGCACTGGGGGGACAGCTCGGCATTGCCCCCTGGCAACGAGACGGAGGAAAGCACGGTGGAGGCTGCCAGCCTGCCGAGGGAGGCGCCTGCGGGCAGCGGGCAGGCACGGCTGCTCCAGGCGGGGGCCCCCTCGGGGGGCGGCGTGGCGGGGACCGGAGGCTTCCCCTGCGGGCTGGGGGCAGCAGGTGGCCCCATCTCGTCCGGTGGGGGGAAGGGCCGGGGGGCCGCGTCCAGGGAGTCCAGCCCAAAGCTCGGCAGGGGGAAGGCCGGGCGCCCCAGGTAGGCGCCGTTGGAGGAGCTGGCGCAGGGCGTCCTGCCCGGGAAGACGTCCCCGAAGAGGGCGCTGTGGTGACGTGGGAAGGATGAGGCCTGGCTGGGCCGGGTGCTGCTGGGCCGGTCTCCGGGGCAGGCCGGGCAGGGATCCGCTGGGGCCTTCTCCACGGGCTGGGGCTTGCCGGGACCCTCGGCCTCCGGGCCGGGCGCTCTGCCGAAAGGCGCTGGCTGCTGGCGGCTGGCGATGCCCGAGTGGTACGTCTGGCTCAGCCCGGCCCCTGCAACAAACCGCAAGGGGGCTCAGCACCGGGGGAGGGGCAGGAGTGAAGGATGGGCCTTGGGGGAGCCCACACAGGCCGGGGGGGGGGGGGAAAGGGGCCGGGGGGGGGGGGGGGAGGGGCGGGCCGGGGGGGGGGGGGGCGCGGGGGGGGGGGGGGGGGGGGGGGGGGGGGGGGGGGGGGGGGGGGCCGGGGGCTGCCTGTTACCTGGGCCTAGGCGCGGCAGGCCCAGGGACACGGTGCTCTCCATGCTGTGGTACAGGGTGGCCATGGCGACGGTTTTCCGGCGGTGGTTGCACAGCTTGGTCATGTCCTGGTCGCCCCGGGCCCCGGCCCCCCCCCGCGGCACCACCACGGCCACCGGGTTGAAGTTGAAAACCTGCCGGGGGGAGAA